TCACTTCGTCGGATGCTGTAGCTCACGAAAGCTTATGCTCAAATAAATTGGTTAGTCTCTAAGGTGCCACAAGTACTCCTTTTCTTTTTGCAAATACAGACTAACACGGCTGCTACTCTGAAACATGAAATTATGAGCTTGAGGTGGGTATGAGTAGCCAGTGTCTGAACAATGAATTGAGTCCTTGGAATGTTCAGTACTTTAAATCACAGGAAAGGAAATGATGGAAATGTTAGTGCAAAGATTTGTGGAAAATCTTCCACTAGTGTTTCACAGACCTATCAGATACTAAGTTGTCTGCAAATATTAGTTTTGTAAGCACAGCAGCTGCATGCTGACTTTTGGGTGCACTGTTTCCTTTTCCGTATGAAAATGTTGTCCCATAATATTTCAGTACGGAATATTTTTTATTGGTTTTTTTTTTACATACCAGTAGGTCACTTGATGAGCTAGAAGAAAAGAGATAGGAGTAACATTAGAGAAAAAGAATAAATTGAAAATTGTGCCAATGTATGTCCGACACTCCTACTTTATCAATTCACTAGTCTGTTAGGGTGGCACAGTGGAAGGAGGATCCCTAGAGTGCAGGTGAAATTTGTCAGCCCACGAGTCCTCAAATAAAAATAGTCTTTGCAGAAAATAGCATCTGACATCTTATGAACAGATCTCTCAATTGACCGTAGGAATGTACGAGATTGCAAGACAAGCACAGATCTGTATTTAAAGTTTGCATGCTCATCTTAAATCACCTGTAGTAATGATAAATGTCTTTGGAAGATGTTGGTATGAAGACGTGTAAAGCTTATATGTTTGCATTGAGGATAAATTGGCTTACAACTGCATATGTCTTACAGTATCTGAGAAATTAGCTTAAATGTGGGCACTATATAATGTAGTTTTTAATTTATTTTCATATTATGTGGCATGGATCAAGGCGGAGCTTTGTATGTTTATTGCCCAGTGTAATTTAGTTTTCTGGTAATGGTTTTCTTACTGCCTTATTGTAAGACAACTGTAAATAATATGGGCCAGATTCTTGGCCTCATTAAATCTGATTTGCACTGCTTCCATGCATAAATGCCTACCTGAGGATTCCTCTAGCATATGGTTGTCCTTCAGTGCTGTAGAACTGGCATAGCTGTCCCTACACTATTCCTCTTTTTGCACTTGATGCACTGGAAGCTCCTGTGACAAGTTGAGCTCTGGAACTGAGGCGCTAGCCTAATGTATGTATACTTATTTATTGTATCTTTTATCTTGCACTATTTTCATGTTACCCGGAAATAGTTTTGACCTGGCATTGGCCACTGTCAGAAGACAGGATACTGGACTAGATGGACCATTAGTTTGACCCAGTATGGCCATTCTCATGTTCTAGGGCTTTGTGGTTTTGGACATGTGCCAATAACATCATGCATCCAGGATGATGATGTTATAGTGCCGAGGGGCCCTGGTCATGGGCCCCATTGTGCTGGGCATTTGAGGAAGGATTTCAAGGAGAATGGTGAGGTTGCTTTGTCGATATTTACAGGAAACGCCTCTGTCACATTCCGGAGCAGAGTCCAGGTCAGTGAGGGGTTGTGGCACTGCCTGCCCCACAACTCTGGGTGCCTAGCAATGCTTTACTGTTGTAGCTCCCAACCTGGGCCACACACAAACAGCCTACCCAACATGCAGGTCTCACCCTGAATGTCTGTGTATAGTTGCAGACCTGGTACAGCAGCTCTGGCTCCAGCAGCCAGCCAGCAACACACCAGTCACATGCTGGCTTGCACAAGGCTTGGTTACTATTTGCAGGATGACCCCAACACTCTCCAAATCCTGAATTTTCCCAAAATTGTGTGTTCTTCACTGTTCATCCCTCTTCTGGACAGTTCAGATATTAAAGGTTTCTTGCTCCTTTAAAGAGTTAATATTCAACAGTTCGCTACTTTAAGTGGAGTTACCAAACAGTTTAGTTTAAACACAGCACTGGATTGCCTTAGATTAAAAAAAAGACAGTTTATTAACACAAGAAGATAGGATTTTAAGTGAATTCAAGTATGAGATAAAGTTAGAAGTGGTTACCAGCAAATAAAAGTGAAAACACACATCTAAAAGTCTAAAATTTAATCTAGCAAGTTTTGGTTCAGGGCTTTAAGATGACCTTTCTCACCCCCAGTCTTCTAGCAAGATGGTGACTGACCCTTTCCTTGATCAGGATCTCTTCCAGAAGCCCAAAGGTGCTGGTGCCTTTGTCTTCTTAGAAATAGAGAGCGATATCTCTGGGTTCTCTGCCCCTTTCACTTATCATCCAGTCAAACTTTGAAGTATATTCTTCTGAAGCAAAAGTCAAGTGGTAAAGGAGGTGTCATGTTCTTTCTTCCCATCTGTGTTTGGTGAGATGCAAATTTTGGCTTGTCTCCTGCTATTTCCTCTCCCTACTGTCTCATGGACTCTGTTTACTACTCATATGTAAAGTGGGATAAACACACATTTCTTTGTTTAGGATAGACCTGTTTAACAATTTCTGCGTGGGCAAAAGTGTCCCTATCATCTGTTTTGCCAGAAGCTGGGACTGGGTGACAGGGGAAGATCATTCACTTGATGATTTACTGTTCTGTTCATTCCCTCTGAAGCACCTGGTATTGGCCACAACTGGAAGACAGGATACTGGGCTAGATGGACCATTGGTCTGACCCAGTATGGCCGTTTTTATGTTCTAGGGCTTTGTGGTTTTGGACATGTGCTAATAACATCATATAGGGGGATTTCATAACTTTACATATAATGTTGCTACATACATTTCACCATGGTATTATTGACCAGCAAATTATTAGTTTTCAAATGATACCTCACAAGGCATATTTTGTACAAAGATTATTACAACAGTGTACAGGGTGTGAATACAGGTGTGCTTGTGATCACAGCCTCCCAAGCATGAGGGGCAACATGGGAAAAAGCACAAGGTGCTTATATGAAAATTTAATTTTGGCAATGGAGGCTGGTATCTTGGGCCAGTTGGAGGTGGTAGTTGACATCTCAACAATGAATGACCCTTAATATCCACATCTCAGCAGTGCATTTTAGTCCTTAGGCTCACCATAATTTGTTCATAGTAAATCTAGAACCTTGCTGCTTAAAATATTTATACAGACTGGTTTATTTTAAACAACAGTGTCTGCTTATCTTTATTATTTCAGAAAGAGGCAGGATGTCTTACTGGCAGACGTATAGCAATATAGTATGTGATGAAGGGACTTTCTTGGGGGCTAGTGGATTTGCCAACCACAGGTGCTACATTAGTTACATATGACTTCTGCAGCACCAAAGTATCATTATATAACATTATAGCTTGATTTTTCAGTACTTTTTTCAGTGAAAAATCTCTAGGTTATTTGTCCTGTTGACTTCAGCCATATTAGAGGTATGAATAAGTTGTTTGCAGTGTTAGTGTAGCTGTGTTGTTCCCAGGTTATGCGAGATACAATGTGGGTGAGCTAATAATTTTTATTGGACCAACTTCTGTTGAAGAAGGCAAGATTTCAAGCTACATAGATCTCTTCAGCTCTGGAAAAGGCAATCAGAGTTGAAAAATGTGCACAACAAAAACTTACTGAAGAGGACAAAAGTTGGTGTTGGTGCTGGGGGAGTGGGTGGGAGCGTGCGGCCTAGGACCCCTGCTGCTGCTGCTGGGGAGTGTTGGCGGGGCTGGTAGGCTCCCTACCCAGCTCCGCGTGGCTCTCCGGAAGTGGCGACATGTCCCTCCCTCAGCTCCTAGGCAGAGGTGTGACAAGGGGACTCTGCGCGCTGCTCCTGCCCCAAGCCCTGGCTGTGCAGCTCCCATTGGCCAGGAATCATGGACAATGGGAGCTGCAGGGGTGGCGCCTATGGGCAGAGGCAGTACGCAGAGCTGCCTGGCTGCAACTCTGCCTAGGAGCTGAGGGAGGGTCATGTCGCTGCTTTCGGGGAGCCCCCCAAGATAAGTGCTGCCCAGAGCCCTCACCCTCTCTGCCCCAGCCCTGAGCCCCCTCCCGCACCCAAATTTCTCCTGCTGCTGGTGGAGGGGGGAGAGCGTGGTGGCCCAAGAATGCCCCTGCAGCAGTCAATGTGGCTGGTCCAGGGGCTGCCCTAACTCCTAAGTCGGTCCCTGGATCAGCCACACCGGCTGCTGCAGAAGTCTTGGAGGTCCCGGAAAGTCATGGAATCCGTGATGTCTGTGACAGACTTGCAGCCTTATTTATGATATAGAAACAAAGGCAGGCAACATAATCTATCCTTTATATTAATTTAAAAAAAAATGATAAGCTGCTTTTTTTATATTATCACTGACATAATAATGTAACTCCAGTGATAAGTATGCAATTATGACACAGTAATTGTAATATCTCAAAATCTTTTGATCTGTTCCATGCCATCTTTTATCTCAGAGTCACTCTATATTGCTTAATAGGATAAAATGTAATTGTGAGCTTTTACTGTTCATTTAATAACTGATATTACTGTATCACCAAAATGAAAGCAGCAATATAGGCTGATTAATCTCTCCATTTTACTTTGCTGTAGAATACAAGAACAAATTAAATTAAATGGCAAAAAACACAAGGAAACTTTTGTTTATATAATGCTGTATAGTCAACTTGAACAATTTTGCTGTCGGAAGTCCTCAAGACAAATGGATTGGTTCTCACTTACACTGAGGTCCCTTTACAGCATTCTGGTAGTGTAGTGGAGCCATAGAGTGAATGTAATTTACCAGATTTGTATAAATGAGCCTTAGAGTAAATAAGAATCAAGGCCAAATACTGTAGGTGGAGTTTTGAAGGCTGTGAATTTTTGAAACATTAATAAAAAATGGTAGGTATGTGAGTTAAAACAGTGTGATGGCCATATTTTATAAATGTATATTATTGAAGTTTTTCTACTGTTTCAACTAATAACCAACATTTATTGAATATTAGACTTATCCTGAAATGCCAGAAGTTAAAGGTGTTTTATTTTTATTTTTTTTTAAACTTTAGACAATTGATTTAGAAGGTTTCAGGCTGTTCATGAAGACCTTTCTGGAAGCTGAGCTGCCCGACGATTTCAGTGAACATCTCTTTACATCATTCAGCAACAAAATCTCCCATTGTAGTCCCTTAGTAAAAAACAAGCCCCAACTCCTATCAGGAGGTAAGTAATCAAAATAATACTGGTGTAATGAAGACTGATCTATTTCAAAGAAAAATATCTACATGAGAAATTGAAAGTATAGCAGTAACATTTGTTTCTAAGAGCCATACAAGTATAGAGTTCTAGGCAGTGTATTGAACTTATGCTTTTATCCAGGACTCATGTAGTAATCAGGTGTTTGCAGAACTGGGGGGGAAGTATTCCATTAAAACCTGTTTTTCAAGGCTGTGCTGTGTTGTGAAGAGAGAATGAAATTAAGTATTTGCACTTTATTAATCCACAGTCACCATCCAGCTGAGGCACCAAGTGGACTAACTTTGCCAAATTAAAACCTATTCAATTTCCAATCTTACATGGCACTGCTGACTATTTTCCTTGTTACTTACACACCATTTAGGAAACCACTGTTCCTGTAGCAGGTTCCCACAACTCCTGCTTGATGCTTTGAAGCTTCCTTGCCCAATTACTTCCTCCCCTGTAATTGACTGGTTGTGCTGCTGCTCCTACCCATCCTTTGCATTGGCTATTTAAGATAGTTGTAGTTACTATTGATCTGCCATATTTCCTCAAGCAACATAAGGCCCTTGTACTCATTGAGTAGTTTGAAGTTTTTCTGCCAGTTTGCAGATTTTTATTAAATATGATTGAGTTCTCAGAGAGGATAGAGCATCTCAAAAATATATAAAAACAGAAAAGTGTAATAAATAAAACAAAACAGCAAACATCCACTCCCCACCCCCAATAAAAACAGATAGACTTTTACTAAACTTGGCAAGAAAAATTAGGTTTAGTGTAAAAATAAGCTTGAGATGTTTCAGTGCACACAGTAATTATTTTGAGAACTTATAACTGCCTGGAGAAACGAAATAAGTTCCCCAATCCTGAAACTACTTATTCACATGCTTATTGAAATCAATAGGATTGCTCATGGTAGTAAAGTTACATGTGTGTCAGAGTATGCAAGATTGGGGACTGTTTAATATAATTTTAACCGTTAGCATAATGCTATATTAAGTGCCTTTTACTCTCATCATTGATACTTATCAGAATGCTTGTGTTGTTATACCAATAAAATAAAAACCAGCAGGATCTTCTTACAGGGGATAAGACAAAATGTCACATTTATTGTGAATACAAAAAGAATCATAGTAGGCAGTCAGTTATAGCTATAACATTTAATTCAGTTTCACATTCATTCACACGTTCATTCATACACACACACACAGAGGTTCTGCAAATTTGTTATAGTTACCAGCCTAGAGGTTGCTCATGCCAAGTTACTGGTCAGGTAACTTGGGCATGAGGGTGGAGCCGAGACTTTGCCAGATGTGCATCCGATGCTCCTGGAGGGTGGTAGCAGAACCAGACTCAAAGTTCTCAGTTTCTAGAGTCCATTTTTATAGGAATTTATTCCTATGCCAGTCTATGGGAATTGATTCCTCATGCTGTTGCTGAATCAATCAGCAGATGGCGCATTCCTGACGGCTCCGTGCTGCCAGATGTTATCTGTTCTTCGGTTCTCCCATCCTTGAGGCTGTTGGGTGGATTCCAGTCTGCCCTCCGGGGGTCCTCTGGTTGTCTCCACTCTGTGCATTCTTCAGCCGATGGACACTGAAATCCTAGGCTGGCACCTCCCTGATCATTCATTTATTATCCTACACCAAGCATCCATCCACATACATCCTCTATCTCTATTTTAATCACAATTGTTAGCAAAGCAAGATAAATACAACAAAAGGGTGGGGAGTCTCTGTGTGCTGTTTCTGTTGTTACAAAGAACTGCTTTGAGTCTCTCTCTGTCTTAGGATGTACTAACACAATTAGCAGCTTGCAAGTTTCACACAGAGAGGGAGAGAAACAGTAACAAAAAAAAAAAAAAAAAAAAACCAAGAGATCTCTTAATTAGCAATGCCCTGGAATTTAAACTATGGGGAATCAAACTTACTTGTGATTTTAATACAGAACTTCTTTAATATGATCCCACAGTGTAAGCAGTTTTCTACTGTGTAATTAGCCTTTTGCTCCTGCCTGATTTTTACAGTGGCGTTATAATCCAAGGTTTCTAATGTCGCAAATTCCCCAGTGTGGAAGCAATTGAGATTCATTGGCTGGAAGGAGTATATGGCATTAGTGAGAGCATTACTGGAATGCTGTTTCCAGTTCCTGGGTCCATATTTTAAAGTGGATGATGGCAAATTGGAAAAGGTTCAGGAAGGAGCTACAAGAATGATATGAGGACTTTACAATCTGCCTTACAGAGATTAAAGTAGTTCAAGCTGTTTTATTTATCCAATGGAAGATAAAGACGTGATTTGATCATGGTCTATAAATATCTCTAGAGGAAAAGACTTTTTGATTGAGGGCTTTGTAATCTCGCAGACAAAGACATCATAAATCCAATGATTGGAAGCTGAAGCTAGATAAAATTAGACTAGAAATAATGTGGGGGTAATTAACCATTGGAACTGCTTACCTAGGGATGTGGTGGAGTCTTCATCACTTTGGAGTCTTTAGTTTGGGATTGCATGTTTTTATAAAGGATACTCTCTAGCTCATCCAGAAGTTATGGACTTGATGCATGAGCCAATTGGTGAAATTTTAGATGTGGATGCTATGAAGAAGATCAGTCTAGATGATCATAATGGTCCCTTCTGGCATTGAAATCTATAAAATGTGGTGATTCTTTGGGTATCAGGAATAGAGGACAGGACACCTTTAAGGCTTCCTACTGCTGTTGGATTACAAGGGAGTGGGAAAGGGAGATAGACTTACCTGATGGAGCCAAGGGGGAAACAGGAAGTAGCTGGACTACGGAGGGGCACTGACCCACCCCCACATTGGGAAAGGGGACGGTATTTATACCCCTGCATTCTGGAACTCTCTCAATCACTGACCAGAATCACCCTTTTCCCTACCCAGGGGATCAGGGTAGAACCAGATTTTATGATCTTCCCTGTGCTTGCACTAGTTGCCTTTTTGGGGAGGACTGAGAAGAATTTTTTATGTGATCACCAGATTGACTGAGGCAGAGTGGTTTTTTTTTTTTTGTCTTCCCCACAATAGGTTGGTGACATCAAGATGTTGCAACTTAGTAGGTAACAGGTGTGGCAGGTGTCCAGTGCAGATAGTCATTACGGAGGGGATACAGTTCCCTGATAAACAGGAGTTGGAAGTGGATTTTGTGGGAGGCGCCCCCTAAGAAAGCCTAAAAAAGGTGGGTTGGGATTCCTAATCCCTCATACTAGGGCAGAGTGGTAGGGGTCCCAGGAACAGGCTGACTGGGTCCAGGTTGGGAAGCAGGAGGGCTGACAGCAACCTCCCAAATAGATAGAAACAATTAAGGAAATGATGACCTGAATTGTACAATTTATTGCCACCTATTCCCAAATATGTTAAATGAATACAGTTGCAACCTAATTAGACCATATCCATTGCCTCTGGTCTGTCTTCCTGTGTGGTTGGGACAATGCTGGTTTCTAGCATCAGGCAATGAATCAGACAACAAACATGCTGATTGCCAAGGAAACAGCTTCTGCTTACCCACATGTGTCTTGGCCAGCAGAAATTGACTTGTTTTTTGTTAAATTTACCTATTTGGTAGTTCCTATAGTGGGTAATATATTTTGTTCACTACTGTACATGCACTGAATAAAATATCTTTCACCTTTTTTTTAATCTCCAGTGGTTGTTTTTGCCTCTTTGCTTTATGATCTCTGGCTATAAAGATATCATTGCTTAGTTAATAGCCATTCATGTCTATTACTCTACATACATGTTACTATTCTGTTGTCCTAGGTTGTACAGAATATTTTTATACTATCATCACCTGCTCATTTTAAACACAATATTTTATACACATACTTTCATAGACATTGAATACACTGAGAGACCTTCCCAATAGCAATAAAGGAAGCTGTCTTTTTATAAATCTCCACCAGTAGCAGCACTAGTGTAGACAAGTAGCTGAAAGCACTTGGTATTTTAATCACCTTGTCAGCTAGACCTGCTCAACATGCCAAGCAATAGGGAGGAACAGTATGTGTGTGCGTGCGTGGGGGAAATAAACATGGGGAAATAGTTTAACTTTGTGTAATGATCCATCCACTCCCAGTCTTTATTCAAGCCTAAGTTAATTGTATCCAGTTTGCAAATTAATTGCAATTCAGCAGTCTCTCGTTGGAGTCTGTTTTGGAAGTTTTTTTGTTGAAGAATTGCCCCTTTTAGGTCTGTAATCAAGTGACCAAAGAGATTGAAGTGTTCTCCAACTGGTTTTTGAATGTTATAATTCTTGACGTCTGATTTGTGTCCATTTATTCTTTTATGTAGAGACAGCAGGACAGTGGGGTGGGAGGAGGTATTGTTTCATATTCTCTGTATGTATATAAAGTCTGCTGCAGTTTCCACGGTATGCATCCGATGAAGTGAGCTGTAGCTCACGAAAGCTCATGCTCAAATAAATTGGTTAGTCTCTAAGGTGCCACAAGTACTCCTTTTCTTTTTGCGAATACAGACTAACACGGCTGTTCCTCTGAAACCTGTGTAGAGACTGTCCAGTTTGACCAATGTACGTGGCAGAGGGGCATTGCTGGCACATGATGGCATCTATCACATTGGTAGATGTGCAGGTGAATGAGCCTCTGATAGTGTGGCTGATGTGATTAGGCCCTATGATGGTGTTGCAAGGATAGGGTAACAGAACCACTAACACAGGAACCTATCCTTGCAACGAAGCCCATTGCCAACTGTGTCCACATATCTATTCAGGGGACACCATCACAGGGCCTAATCACATCAGCCACGCTATCAGAGGCTCGTTCACCTGCACATCTACCAACGTGATATATGCTATCATGTGCCAGCAATGCCCCTCTGCCATGTACATTGGCCAACTGCCCACCACCCCCACCGTTAAAACACACAGCCTCTTTTAAAACAATGTTATCTGATATAAGCAGAAATGAATTTCAGTATTATTTCTGCCAGTGTATCCTTAGCTTGTTTTTATCGTATGTGTGTGGTTTTTATTGTAACAGTACTATATAAAATATTTTCCCCTTCACTCTACCGTTCAGGTCTTTAGCATCATGAGACTATTTTCTCTCAATAAAATCCTTATGATCCACTCATTATGAGACAATTTCATTCTCACTCTATTCAGTTAAGTCATTTGGATTCAATATGATGCCAAGGGAACTGTTATAATACTGTTCAAACTCACAGTGAAGTCAATGGTATTATGCCTAATACAAATGCTGTGGTGAAAAAACATTCAGTTAGATAATTCCATTGACCTCATAATAGATTTATGGGTAATTTGGGACTGCAATTAAACTATACAATCTCTGACTGATGTATATGATTTTACATAGCAACAGCACTTATAATAGGTAATATGCAACGTGAAATAACTTTATGGTTGTAAATTTTAATGTAAAAAGGTGCAAAAGGCCACACGAAGGTCTTGAATAATTTTATGTTATGCTATATAACTAGTATATTTTGTAACTAGTATAGGACAGACATTTGCAAAAGTAGAGAAAATATTTCAAATGCATTTGAAACTCTTCTGGAAGCTGGGCAGACATGTAGGAGCTAGAGGGGAGCTCATAAAAGGATAATGGACAAATGTTGCCAGAGACAGCTGTGTGATGAGCCCATTTGGTGGTGGTAGTTGCTCTCTGCAAGCGCCCCCATCACATCTGTTTATAAATTCTATTCTCCCTTAGCGGCCTGAAGAGAAACTGGCCACTCTGTCAGGCAAGCTGCTGCTCTGAAAATGAGCATTGGCTTTTCTCAACTTCCTGAGAAATGCCTTTGCTTTCTTACACCTTTGACTTGACAATGGGCCAAATTCTACTTTGCAATACAGATGCCATGTTCCCTCTGATTTCAGTGGGTGTGAGGTATATATGTATGAGTGCAGAATAGGATCCAGTATTTTAGTTCCTTTTATTTCTCTGGATAGAATACAAGGCCATATTTTACCTTTTAAGCTTCAAAATTCATCCCCATGTAACACATGATAGTATTAAATAGCTGTTTGCACAAAATATTAGGGTTTTTTGCCATGTTATTTAGGTAGTTTCTTTTAAATATAACTAAGTAAACTTTTGCATTAGTTCTCCACGGAATGGCAGAGTACTTTCAACCAAGAAAAGAGTGGACTTCACTTGCTGAAAAATATATAAAATATAAAATACTGTTTTATGGCAATTTAATTTTATAGGCATTTATTAGCACTTAAGCCTTGTGATCTTATCAGTTTAGGTCCTAGACCTGCATGGGAGAAACACATGCATCTCTGCATGGCCCAGACTCACTTCAGTCTCAAGTGCAGATTCAATTGCAAGAACAAGGCCATAATTACCATGTATATATATTATAGTTTTCTGATCTTTGCCCTTTGGTTTCTTTTGTACTTGGCCATCTGCTATGTGAAATTACTTTATTGTTCATTAAATGACAACATTTTCAGGTGTTGGTCTAAAACGCAACTAGCAAGACTTTCGTTGCCCCATAGATGTTACATTTTAGATGATGTTTTTCATTCTAGAAGACAGATACCGAGACTAGAGGAAGGATTCAGAGTAGCAGCTGTGTTAGTCTGTACCCTATGCATCCGATGAACTGAGCTGTAGCTCACGAAAGCTTATGCTCAAATAAATTTGTGAGCCTCTAAGGTGCCACAAGTCCTCCTGTTCTTTTTTCAGAGGAAGGAGTTACTTTAGAGTTAATTTTAAAGCATTTTTTTTAGTCTAATGATTTCCATTTGTTATATTTGCAGATTTCTCATAGGAAAGACCCTTGCACTATTGGGAAGTACTGATTTTCCCATGTAGAATAACTTAAAGTAATTCAGAGGTAAATTCATATTTAGCGCTGAGGAGCTCCTGGTATTTATATTTGGGTGCACACTGCCTTCTAAACACCCTTTTATTTATTTTAGTTTTCTTAATCTTTCTTACTATCTGCCTAAAAAATATGCTGGATGTAAACTTGATTTAAATTAATTGCTTCTGCATGCCCAAATTCTGTTTGCTGAAAGGCAAATCCTTCTCACCTTACTCACTCCAGTAATCCCATTGAAATAAGCATGGAATACAATTTGTGAGATGAATGTAGAAGATAGCGGGATTCTGTTTCCATTGGCTACAGCAAATATTTTAGCCAAGGAAAAATATGTGAGAGAGAGAGAAATTATGTAGGCAGCTTATCAGTGAAGAACCTGTTCTGAATGAATTACACAAAGTGTTTAAGAACAGTTAATCCTTTTGTTAAGATTCTCTTTTAACATTGCTAAGGTCAGTGAGAGACATAATAAACCTCCTTAATCAGAAACTTTTATGATTCCTCTCTGGGTTGTCATGTCCTCCTGTTGTTCACATCTTAACTTGGGGCTTGATCCTGCAAGTACTCACACATCTTTGGAAACAGTCCAACTAACTTCCGAATTGAAGCATGAGGATTGGCGGTGCTGAAATTTGTATTTTACAAATGTATTCGCATTAGTTTGACTCAATAATAATTGAAATATTTATATTAAAATTGGGATATTTATTTTCATAATATCTAGTGGCAGGGATTTTGACAGTTTAATTGTTTTGACAGTAATTAATTATTACGTGTATGACTCTGCTACTGGCTAGGGTACAAATTTAGGTGGCGTGAAAGAGCATTATGTGGCAACAAGCATCTTTGAATAGGGAGCAGCATGTGAAGCTACATAATTTAGGAGGCCCATGGAGCTTCTATAGGGCCGCTGGAATGGAGGCAAATTTGGGCTGGATTGTGACAGCACAGTGGGAAAAAACGAATAACATATCCACTAAGTGAAATAGTGGTTTTGATTCTCTATTTATGTTGTTGATAAAGATAACAAACCATATGTATTTTTTCCAGGTTTGAGAATTAATAAAGGTACCACTACATCACGAACTGCTGCTCCTGCCAATTTACATGTACCAGATGTAATCCAGTTGAAAGACATTGTTTGCTATTTGTCTCTGCTTGAAAGAGGAAGACCTGAAGACAAACTAGAATGTATGTATATATTTTTTCGTATCTGAGGAAAAAGCTGCTAAATTAAAACAAAATAACAAAAGCCCCTAATAATTTGCTAATACATCCACCTGACTATAATGCTAGTAACAACAGACATTGCTTTATTTTCAGCTTTGCAAACCTGAGCTGTACGCAATCTTGAGGAAATTTTGAAATGGAAATTTCTGGCTCTAAATTTAAGACTTAATGAAGTATGTTTTTTTTCTTAAAAAGTGACACTATAAAAATGGCATAGCAGAGTTCTGCATTCTTGTGTTTAGCTGATTTCCTTATCAAGTTTGCTCAGTAAGTTACAAGATGTATTTTTTCAGTTTCCAGCCTCAGTAATTGACCCTGGACTCTGACAAACTGGGTTCTTTCCATCTTGCACATCATCACTAGTAGTATAGGCTCTGCAGTCCAAATTATCCCCTCAGATACACTTGCATGACCACATTATCTCCATCAGTCATACCTTTGAAAATCCACGTAAGGCTAACGAGGATGCCTAGGGATGCTTAAGTGTGAGTGTAGACCATAGGACTTACAGATGTAGTTGAGATGTTAATATGGCCCGTATATCCTATGTTGCTAGTGGTTATCAGCAAGATGGAAAGAACCCAGTTGTGTGTCCAGGTGAGTCTGTAGGGCTAGCAGTTAGAAAATATGTCTTTACTTACAAACAAAGGCCTCAGTTCAGAAAAGCTATTAAATACGTGCTTTAAGTTAAGCATGTGCCTAAGCACCTTTCCTGAACAGAAATGCTTTCCTCCATCAGGACCTGAAAACCTTGATATGGAAATCAATGAAACACAAAGAATATAGAACCCCACAGTGTCATTCTTACAGTCAGTTCTTGGGTTAGACTAACACATAGGCTACATCTACACTTGGAGCTGAGGGTGTGATTTCCAGCTTGAATTGACATACTCGTATTAGCTCTCATTGAGTTAGTGCTCTAAAATAGTAAGGTATCTGGGGTAGCCTGGGCATTGTCTAGCTGCCCTGAATATGTACCTGTGGGGTTCAGGCAGGTTTTTGCTTGTGGCTAGTCCATGCCACATCGCTCCTCACTGCCCATGCTACCATGGCTATGCTACTAATTTTAGTGTGTTACCTGAATGAGAGCTAGTTCAAGTATATCTGCTCAAGCTGGGAATCACACCCCCAGCTCCAAGTGTAGACTAAGGTCCTTGCTGTCCTTACTGAGGCACAAGTTGTATTGATTTTGATGGGAGGTTTGTCTCTGTAAGAAATGCAGGCCCAGGCCCTGATAGTGTACCAGAGGTAAATATTCAGTATCACTGCTGTAAAAATACAGGCACTAGACTCTATCTGCTGGAAATTTATATTCATTGCAAGTTTAATGACCATGTCTTTTATAAGCCTCCAAGTTTTCTAGACTATAGGTAGCTTATAACTACAGCATGCAAGGTCCTAGTCCTGATAACATAGGATTAGTGGGAGTTTTGCCTGAGTAGTGACTGCCCCAAATTTGCCAATATCATAGCACTGGTATCGTATAAGTGCTACAATATTCCAAGGTTAATGATGTATTGGATGCTTCTCTGCAACCCAAAACAAAATCTGTGGATTATGTGTTGATCCCATGAATAGGAAAATCTAAATTCCTAGGTCTTAATTCAGCAGACAATACATTGAGCCCATCCAAGTGGCAGCCTGTGTAGGCCCTTCCAGAATCCTAAAGCCCAGATCCTCACCTTCAGATCCACATTCAGAACGTGGGAAAGCTGCCTCCACTGATCCTAGGGATCTGGATTGTGGGAGAGGGTAATGACTGGGGTGCTAGGCAAGACCCCGGTCAAGGATGCACATCTCCCTTAGGTCCTGCAGAGGTTCTCCAGAAAAGATGTTGCAGTCTGGGGCCGTATTATCTTCTGTATGCAGTCTCCTTTCCAGAAGCTGCATTGCCAGAGAAATCCCTGGTATTAAGACTCCCATGGAGCCCTGCTGCCAAGGAAAAGGGGTTTGTCAGGAACCAGAGGTGCTCCAGAGGCACAAGACCCCTGCCCAGATGGTGGTGTCCTCTCACCAGTCCCTTGGTATCTACCAGCTTTCAGAAGAAATCCCACCCTGACTAGACAATGTGGAGAATTGTCTGTGAGGGGGTTTTTGTGGAAATTTCATGCCCTGGGGCCCTCTGCCACACAATGCAGTACAATAATTTCAATCACAGCCCTTGCAATATAAAATTGTTCTTAATACTGAAGAGATTTGATTGTGATAATTTATTTGGAATGGAGATAAATGTGTAATCCTAATGAACATCAACTGTCGCATCAGGCAGAATATAATCACTTGCTATAATGCTGTAAGAGGTGCTTTGATAAAACACAGAGTCCAAGTGGAAAAGCACAGAGTATTAAAAACAGGTCCATTTGCATTTTATGTTAAAAGTTATTTGGAGTGTTATCCTCATACACATTACAATATTTACATAAAACCGCTCAAAAATCTATTCTAATGTAGATGTAACTGTTTTTGCTTCCTTGAAATGCTGTTTTTTGATTATCAAGATTTTATTTGCTGTTCTGTTTTTCTTCTACTACAAAGACTGGCGCATAAGTGAACCTGATTGAGAGATTTGTCGAAATTAGTAGCATTTGAAAATGACAGTGTACATAATTCAACTTTTTTTTAATTTACAAAACAAAAACCTGTAAATAAGTAGTTTACATATGCTTTTGATGACCTTTGGAAATTAAAATTAATTGCATCAGATAAGCATATACAGCAAACACTGAGATTATGTATTTTTGGTTATCACCTTCAACAGAGGAAAAATGTGTCCATATGGTCACAGTATATTTCACCATGTAAATTAATGGTATTTACTAAATGAGGTCCTGATCCTGCAAACATTTAAGTACTCAAGTAACTTTGCACATGAGTAGTCTTGTTTCCAGAATCAGGAACCAAGTACTTCCTAAAGTGAAAACATTTTAGAGTTAAATAATGCAGTGATAGAATTCAATACAAAAAGAGTAGCAGAAAAAACAAGAAATTAAGAGGTGGATTGATCTAACTGTGCCCATAAAGAAGTCAATGGTTCTCCCATTGTCTTCAGTGTCAGCAGAGTTAGACCAAAACTGGATGCTTTTGAAAATCAGATCCAAGACACACAAAGGAGTGGAGAAGTTATGCTTTCAGATAGAATTTGAAATACGATGGAGACCCATTGAGGAAGAGAGATAAAAGTATGATATAATGATTAATAAATGTTAATCATTGGTTATAGATTGTTATAAAGTCCAACAAGTCAATAGGTTGCTTATAACCATGGCTTACGACTGTTTATAACACCTTCTACTGATGTACTTAAAGCCATCTTTAATGCTATTAATCATATCTGTGATGTGCTTAAAACATCTATTAATCATTTATTAACCCTTTATAAACTATTTATAAATGGAATTTTACTAAAAAGTGTTATCCAAAATTGTGTGGTGGATCGGAGAGGAATATAATACTGATTGAAGAATTGAAGCTGTACAGATTCATATTGAATATATTTGTGTTAATCAGTTTAATTCATCCCTGTGCAGAGGATACTTAAATACTAATTTGATGACCTAAGTGGGAACTAAATCATGCATGGGCCTGATTTAATCTACATTGTTTAAAATTGCTAACATTATTGGGATTTTGCTATGTATTATAGCTATTTATTGATGCTTGTATATCAATAGCTATCTTGTACAGAGATACATATTTTCATGATTTAGTGCATTTTACTCTTGTACCATGTGTTAAAACTTTGGTGTTGTATAAAACTCCCCAGCTGACGGCACTGCTAGAGACTGCAGGACTTAGTATGAAATCCATTCTGGGAAGAGAAGGGGGTTGGTGAAACAGTTTTCTTACTTTGAACTGAGAACTTTTAAGAATATATCTTTTTCTTTAATTTAAACATTATCTGATGAGTCTCTTTCAGTTTGGGAGATTCTGAAAGGTTTCATAAGTAAATCAGTTTCCTCAAATGTAATACAAGTGGCTGCTCAATGGATGAGACAATAAAGACAGACAAATTTATGCATAGGCACTGTACCTTTTAAGAGGTTGATGGTATACGGTGTCTTTACACTCGCTATAATAAATATTCCATTAGTTACAGAAAAGAATATGTGAGGTGCTGCCCTTAAGATACTTACGCTCACAAGGGGCCACACAGTATACATTAAGTACTACCTATGGGGCAGAATGGCCTTGAGCACTAGTTCAGGAAAGCACTTTCGTGCATGCTTACATTCATTCTGTTTTCTGTAGTAGAACTAACTTATGTGCACACTTAAAATTAAGCATGTAATCAAGTGCTGAATAGGAATGAGCTCTTGAATTGGGCCTAGATATGTCAACAAAATTTCAGACAATAAGACCAGGGAGATGCTCTAAAGCTATCTACACTGCACTTTCATCGGTAAAACTTTTGTCGGTCAGGGGTGTGAAGAAAACACATCCCTGACCAACAAAAGTTTTCCTGACGAAAAGCACTGGTGTAGACTGGTGCTTTGTAGGCGGGAGAGATCGCTACTGCTGCTCGTTGGGGGTGGTTTTATTTTATCAGCGGGAGAGCTCTCTCCTGCCGACAAAGAGCGTCTACGCTGTGGACCTGACAGCAACGCTGCTGTAGTGGCCCAGCTTTGCTGCTGTGAGGTGTGCAGTGTAGACGTAGCCTAAGAGACCATTACAGTTGACTTCAAAAGGAGAAGAATTGTGCCCAATAGCTCTATTTTATATATAGGGCCCTACCAAATTCATTGTCCATTTTTGTAAATTTCACCATCATAGCATTGTAAAAATCTTGAATTTCATGGTTTAAGATATTTAAATCTTAAATTTCATGGTTTAAAAACCAAGAATATGTATTTTTAAAACAGCAAAATATAAACATGTAAAGTCCTTAAGACTCAGCATTTCTCAAACTGGGGGGCCCAACCAAAAAGGGGGTTGCAAAGCTATTGTGTGTGGGGGGGAGGGTGTTTGCGGTATTGCCACCCTTACTTCTGCGCTACCTTAAGAGCTGGGTGGCTGGAGAGCTGCAGCTGCTGGCCAGGTGCCCAGCTCTGAAGACTGCACCCCCACCAGAAGCAGCTCAGAGGTAAGGGTCTCATGGTATGCTGGCAGCAGTATTGCCACCCTTATTTCTGCACTGTTGCTGGTGGCAGCTCTGCTTTCAGAGCTGGGCGCTTGGCCAGCAGCCGCCACTCTCCAGACATCTGGCCCTGCAGGGTAGGGTAAAAGTACACAAAAGACCAGATTTCATGGGGGAGACCAGATTTCTGAATTTGGTAGAGTCCTAATTATATACCAGTATTGTGAACTCAGTGAAACCAGGGAAAATTTTACTTTGCAGGTATGGAAAGTATATTTACTGTTGCATTCAGCTGACCTGAAAACTAATTTCAATAATTTCCATGGGTACAATTAGCTAATGAGTAAGCATTTGTAGAACTGCTATCATCATAGTGGACTAAAAGCACAGTGAGAGTGCAAGAGGAAGCCAGCAAATTTTCTAACGGGGATCCTGTTTTCTGTAGATATAATCAGGATCCCAGTTTCGAGTCAGGCGGTAACTCTCTATCTTGCTCTCGAGTTAAAGGAAAATGATGTACATCTTACATTTTTTCTAATTTAATGGTCCTTTTTTTTTTTTTTTTTAGTTATGTTTCGCTTGTATGACACAGATGGAAATGGGTACTTGGACAGTTCGGTAATTTTATTTCTATTGACATATTATGCTAGCATGAACCGTAACAGTGTATTTGTATGAATCCATGCAGAATGCACACTTTGGATAAACACAAGTAATAACTGGGTATAATAAAAATATTTGTCATCCAGGATATTTTGAGGCTACTCCGAACAATTTGTCCTTCTGCTGAGCATATCCACTTCCCCCTCAACTATAGAGATAGTCAAATGTTGAATCTCCCACTGTGAAATCATTCTTCTGATTTTTAGTTGTAACGTTTTACTGCAGGAGGCAACTTAACTCAGCTCCCAAAACCCCTTTGTACTTATTGAGAGCTGTACATGAAAGAGCTATTTGTAGGGTTGTATTGAGAGGGAAGAAAGGTGCGGCTCAACTTTCTGGGAGAAGGTAATAGCAGAAGATGAAGGGGAAAGGCCAGCATGTTCAGAGAGGCCAGAAATGAGGATACATTGTTAAAGGAGAAGTTTAGGAGTAATGCTTGATTATACAATTAAGAGAACATCAGAGAGATGTTCACGAAGTGTGTGGCTTGTGGGCAGAGCTGGCACTAGGCATAAGCAGATGAAGCAATTGCTTAGAGCCCTGAACAGCTCAAGGGGACCCACTGTTCACTTTCAATTATAAGACCTTGCCTTTTTAGTAGTGTGTGTTTGGGGGGAGCAAAAATATTCCTGCTTTGGGCCCCCAACAGGCTAGCACCGGCTCTGTTTTCAGATATTGGGAAGGAGCAGAGACTCGCAAATTATTGGAAATGGGGATAGGGCAGGCATCTTTGTCTTTTGCTTCCTCCACTTCCCCCCACCCCCCTGAAAAAAGCGGGGAGAGAAAAGAGAGAGATTGGCATATAGGAGGAAAGAAGGTAAGGGGATATACATATACTTAAACTGGCACTGATAGTGTTCTAGGCAACAGGGGGTTTTAACAAATATCAGCCAACTAATGCATAAGGGATAGAAGTAGATTAGTTTCTCAAAGCTTCTAGCATCCTGTAGAATGAATGTGAAGAGGTTCTATTTTCTTATTTCAGTTCACAGGCTGTAACAGTGGTTGTAGGGTTAGATTTCATCTCCCCAGCTGTGTTACACTCCCCTCTCCTCCACTTACCTACTCAGACTTTATGTGCTGGAGTGGATTTGACTCAGTGATATGAACACACATTTTCCAGTGGGCGAACACCATGTTACCACAATTCAGAAGAGAGAACCAATTTCATAGAATCATAGAATCATAGAATATAAGGGTTGGAAGGGACCCCAGAAGGTCATCTAGTCCAACCCCCTGCTCGAAGCAGGACCAATTCCCAGTTAAATCATCCCAGCCAGGGCTTTGTCAAGCCTGACCTTAAAAACCTCTAAGGAAGGAGATTCTACCACCTCCCTAGGTAACGCATTCCAGTGTTTCACCACCCTCATAGTGAAAAAGTTTTTCCTAATATCCAATCTAAACCTCCCCCACTCACTTGAGACCATTACTCCTCTTCTTCATCTATACCATTGAGAACAGTCTAGAGCCATCCTCTTTAACCCCCTTTCAGTAGTTGAAAACACTATCAAATCCCCCTCATTCTTCTCTTCAGCTAAACAATCCCAGCTCCCTCCCTCTCCTCATAACTCATATTTCCAGACCCCTAATCATTTTTTTCCCTTCCTGGACTCTCTCCAATTTATCCACATCCTTCTTAAGTGTGGGGCCCAAAACTGGACACAGTACTCCAATGAGGCCTCACCAATGTCAATAGAGGAATCATCCCTCATCTTCTTGCCCCTACTTATACATCCCAAAATGCCATTGCTTTGCAACAAGGGCACACTCTGACTATATCCACTTCTCACTCACCCCTATCCTTTCCCAGAACGCCTAGATTTCTGTTATTTTTCTCTATCAACTGCACTTATCCTTATTAACCTCATCGATTTCTTTAACCTCCAATTTTTCTCCCTACCCTCCCCTCCAGCTACTACCACTCCTCCCTTTGTATCACCAATTTAAATACACCACCTCCAGATCATTTAAATATAAAAAACAACACCTTGGGCACCACTTATCCAACTAGACATGGATACACTACCCTAGCCCGACAATCTAGCCACTTTCTACCCACCTTTGTATTATCCAGCCCATACTTCCTTAACTCCAAAATAGGAGATGCAAAACTTTCTAAAGTCAAGAAACAATACATCCACTCTTTCCTTCACCACAAACAGTAATCTCACATAGAAATAGATAAGACCCCCTTGGTGAATCCATGCTGGCTGTTCCTGATCACTTTCCTCTCATGCAAGTGCTTAAGGATTGATTCTTTGAGGACCTGCTCCATGATTTTTCCAGGGACTGAGTGAGGCTCACTGGCCTGTAGTTCCCGGATCCTCCTTCTTCCCTTTTTTAAAGATTGGCACTACATTAGCCTTTTCCAGTCATCCGGGACTTCCCGGTTCGCCCGGTTTTCAAAGATAATGGCCATGGCTCTGCAATCACAGCCCCGTTCCTTCAGCACTCTCGGTGCAACTCGTCCGCCCCTGGACTTGTGCACGTCCGCTTTTCTAAAAGTCCCTAACCACCTCTATCTCCACAGAGGGCGGCATCTCTTCCCCATTTTGTGATGCCCGGTAGCGCTGGGAGCTGACCTTGTTAGTGAAAACAGAGGCAAAAAAGCATTGGTACATTAGCTTTTTCCACATCCTCTGTCACTAGTTTGCCTCCCTCTTCAGTAAGGGGCCCACACATCCTTGGCTTTCTTCTTGTTGCCAACATACCTGAAGAAACCCTCTTGTTACTCTTGACATCTCTGGCTGCTGCGCTCCGGTGGTTTGGCCCTCTGAAACTCCTCTGCAAATTTTACTCTTCCCTGGTCATTGTCCAACCCCCTTCTTGTGCTTCTTTTGTTTAGACCGCTAAGTTCACCTTGCCGCGGTCGCTGCTTTTACTCTTTCACCTCGGGGGTTTGTCTGAACCCACGGGTTTGAAACCCCTCCGGACCTTCCCTAAATATGCCTTTCATTAAATTAAGTAAGGATCAGTGACAGCTCAAAGGAGAGAAGTTGTGGTGCCCAATGCTAATATACAGGTCAGAACATGATATACAGTTGATCTTTAAATTTAACTCAGAAGAAATTCTATCCCTGATTAAAACATCACCCTTCATAAAGGATTATTAAAGCACTCTTGGATGTTAATAAAAATTTTAATTATGACAATGTGAAGAGTTTTTGGAATGTAAAAATCACATTTTAAAGTCCACATTTTAAGGACTAAGCAAAAGTAAGATTATTCAGGAATGCTGTGTCCTTGTTTCTGCACACTATTTCTTCCGCCTTGTTCTTGTAAGCTTTTTCAAGCACACGCACACAAAACAAGAGGCTGGAGAGAGGATTAGAGAGCCTTCACTGAGTTGGGTTCTGCAGAAAACAGAAATAACTGCAGAAAAATATTGACGGGAACTCTTTCAAACATTGACATCTAAAGTGTGCCTGTAAAATCACCATGAGTAGCTCCCATTGTGTGTGTATGTGAGCAGTTGTGCATCCAAGCATGCATCCAGTTGCATGCACAACTACTGATTTTGTGTGTATGTATTTTTCAGGTGCAACTTTGATGCCAGTGTTTGAGAGTTTGTTCCAAAAATTTTGTGGCCAAATTCAGGTTGCCTCTTGTTCATAAGAAAGAAAAAAGGAGGGTAAGCATGGTACAACTTTTGTACCTTATTCCTAGCTCCCCTAAAACCCATGGAATACACACTCCATAGATGCATTCCAGGAGGAATCTGAGGTCAGAAAGCATAGTATCTTTAAGTGTGTGTTCCTTGAACCCCTGTGTGCCCTTCCTTGCTGGCATTACTTGTTGGCTGCACGTGTAGGAAGTGGTGGTGGCGGTGGCGAGGGAGGCGGTTATAGGAACTCTGGGGGTTTGAATAATGTTGCAAAATAATGCCATTTTTGTTGAGCCTTTCACATTATGGCCATTTTCTGAAGTACTGACAACTTGGACTGCAACTGGAGTTGAGTCCTCAGCACCTTTGAAAATAAAGGCCCCATAGAAATAATTGTAATAATAGTATATATTCACTTGCACTCAGTTTGAGAGCAGTAGTGAAGAAGGCCTGAATGTGTCCCCTCCTCCCCGACCCCCCGCCCCGACATGCATGCTTTTCTTATGGATGCAATTTATACTGGGCCTGAGTGCTGAACCTAGAGCAAAGGGGCAGATTCTTAGCTGGTGTAAACTGTCATAGCTCCATTGATTTCAGTTTACAGTAGTTGAGGATTTGCCCCCAGGTTTGTACAAATATCTAAATGGAAGTGTACCAAACTTACAATTACATTAAAACATATCCATATCTGCATAATATACATTACCCAAAAATATTAAAATATCATTTGCATACAGTAAGTTCCTGTGATCCTGAAACACTCAAGCATACCTTGATGAACCAAACCCGTGGATTTAAATTAATGACATTTTGTGGAACTGAAATCAGCACGGTGGAGATAACACTGCAAATTTGAAAGAAGATGGTTCAGTGAGAGCCAATCCTTACTAGTCTCGCTTCCAACAGCACAAATCATCCCAGTTAAGTGATGAGCATAAGTTATACCTGACCAAAGCAACCTGCAAAATGTGAGTTCAGGTCCTCCTTTTTCAATGAAAGATTTTCTTTCTCCAAGGCCAAACATATACACACACACAAACCTCACCCTAAAATATTCCCTTCTTAAAACAATTAAAAGTAATCCTTTTATTCTGCTTAATGGAGTCTCCAATGGATATTTATTTCTGATTTTAACTTCTGTTAGTAATTATATTGATATTCAAATATATATCATATAACTGCTGATTGAATATTTTTACCTTATACTTTGATGTATTAAATGGTTTGATGTTTAAATGGTTTTGTTAAAATATACATTTAATATTTTCATCCGTAGAGATGATGCATCCAAATACGCTGTCAGTCTATATTAAAACAATTATAAACTATATATCTGAATTGTAAGAAAATCGGCCAGTATGGTACCGCATTAAAACATCTTTGTTCTTTTTTCCTGCCTAGGAGCTAGAAAATATCATCACTCAAATGATGCATGTTGCAGAATATCTTGAATGGGATGTCACTGAACTCAGTCCAGTAAGTATTTTGTCAGATCATTGATGCAATTAATTCTGGAAAACATTCTGTAATGTCCCATGAATATCTGTGATATTAATACATATATTGAGTACTAAAAATAATAATAGTTGTTGCTTCTTTCTGAGGCTGGCATTCAGCCCTTTCCTAATCTTTTTTCCAATGAGGACAACGTAGCACCATGGTCATAAGTCTGAAATATATGCCCTCCACTGAAGTTTAAGGCTTTCTCACCATTACATTTAGTAATTCACCTTCTCAGTGTGCCTGGCACATATCTACCCAAAACCCATGAGGGGCAGGAACTATCATCTGTGTACAGCACACCTAGTACAATGGGCCCCAAACTGCACTTTAGAAATCTCCATGACCCACTCCATAGTCTGCATTACTGCTCCATGTAGACAAACCCTTAAATGCAAGCAACCATTTCTGGTGTTTTTCTTGGATTTATTAGCTAAACATTGATTTAATTTTTTAATTTGTTTTTATTGGTGGTGTTTTATTGGTGCTTATCAGTCAAAAGCTAAAATCAGAAGCCATAAAAACAGAATTTAAGTGATGCATATGGCCTTGTGCTACCCTTGACTCAGGGTGAATTTTTCCCTAAGCTTTATCTTTCCATAGAACTCTAAGAATCTGTAATGCTACAAAGATGGTAATATGAAACTATGGTATATAATGTCACTTCTAGAGCTGAATAAAAATAGTAAGAGTGTGTCACAAAAAAAAATCATTTTCTTGAACTTTTTGCTGAAAACTGGAAAATGTAATATTTCTGGTTCCCTGTCTCCATTATTTGCCTGTTTATTTATTTGCTTCCCCCCAACCAAAACAAAATGGAGGAAAGAGGGAGGGGAATACAGAAAATACAAGGGTCAATGAAAAAATTGGGGTATTTAATTTTTTTTGTTTCAAAATTTGAAAATGTTGAAAAAAATTTCCACAAAAATATTTTTAAATGTGCTTTTTTAATTGAAAAAAAAAAGTTTTACCAGTTCTAATAAGGACCTAAGTATGGTTTGGGGGCGAGGTGAGGGGTAAAATGACTTTAAATACATTTCTTCCAAAGTTGCCACATAGGATACATTTTACTTTGCTTTTTCCTTCAGAAAGTGGGTGGCTCAGGGTTAATACATATTTTTGTTTTCTTAGAACATCCAATTTATAGGTTTTTGTTTGTTTTTGCTTTTAAATCTACAGATCCTTCATGAAATGATGGAAGAAATTGATTATGACCATGATGGCACAGTATCTCTGGAGGAATGGATCCAGGGCGGAATGACGACAATCCCACTCCTGGTGCTCCTTGGATTAGAGAATGTGAGCATTAATCTAGCAATGTCCAAAGGGTAACTTATGGATCAGATGTGGCCCCAAAACTAATATATTTGCAATCTGCCACTACCTTCATCTTAACTATGGAACTATGACATGCAGAGACTATCCAGTATGTGGCTACCTCAGGGGGAGCAGTTGAGCCAAGGATGGAGAATTACATAATGAGACCTATTATTGCTATAGGCCACAGTTTCGTATTAAGGATGAAAACAGCTGTAATAATATTAATTTTATATCAGTTAGATGCAGCTGTTATATTGTTGGCAAAGTGCCAATGCCATCTGCCTTCTTGCATTTGAGCTAACTTTGGACACCTCTCTTTTAGCATGTCTCAGGTGTGTGATTTTGATGTAAAAATATTTGTATTGAAAATTTTCTGTAGTACTTCACAGACACTTAAATGGAGATATTAAAGAAGTTCCTCCACCCCAAATCAAGCCCAGAGTGTTGCAATTATGCAATCAGTTATACGATATTTTTATAAAGGTCGGTTAAGTTTAGCACTTTCTATTGCTAAATATATAACAATATAATAGTTGTGTAAGACTTTTTAATCACAGGATCTCAAAATTCTTCACAAATATTAATTGATTAAGCCTGTGAAGGAAGTATTCCTTGGTAAATATTATTTTCTTCTTTTTACATATGTGGAACTGAGGCACAAAAAGATTGTTACTTGCCCAATACCACAGAAGACATCACTGTCAGAAATGGGTTGCCCTTTTTCCTGACTCATATTCCTAGATTCGTAGTTAGATAGATTCATAGATTTCAAGTCCAGAAGGGACCACTGTATCGATCTAGTCTGACCTCCCATACAGCTTTCCCCAAACAGATCCTAGAGCAGATCTTTTAGAAAAACATCCAGTCTTGATTTAAAAGTTGTTAGTAATGAAGCATCCACCACGATCATTGGCAAATTGTTTCAGTGGTTAATAACCCTCACTGTTAAAAATTTACCTTTGATTTCCAGTCTGAATATGTCTAGCTTTGACTTCCAGCCATTAGATTGTATTATACCTTCCTCTGCTAGCTTGAAGAGCCCATTTATTGAATATTTGTTCCCCAAGTAGGTACTTAAAGACTGTAATCAAGTCATCCTTTAAGCTTCTCTCTGGGTATCTTTATGCTGGGTGGGGGGAACCAACAAAAAACTAAAACACCTCCGGCAGTGAGTCTCAGAGCTCGGGTCTCTAGACTTGGGCTTGCAGGTCTTGTGCTACAGTGTTAAAAATAGCAGTGCAGATGTTCCTGCTTAGGCTGAAGCTTGGGTTCTGAGACCCACCCCTCTTGCTGGGTTTCAGATCCAGAGCTCTAGCCTGAGTGGGAATGTCTAGGCTGCTGTGTTTAGCACCATAGTGTGAGCCCCAGTGTGTAGACCTGGATTCTGAGACTCACTGCTGTAGGTGTTTTTTTGCAGTGTCGGCATACCCTATGGTTAGGTGTATAGATTGAGCTCCTTGAGTCTATCACTATTATACTTTCTTAATACTGTAATCATTCTCATGGCTCTTCTCAGAGCCCTCTCCAATTTTTCAACATCCTTCTTGAATTATGGACACCTGAACTGGACACAGTATTCCGGGAGAGGTCACATCAGTACCAAATACAGATGTAAAATAACCTCTCTACTCCTATTCAAGATTCCCCTGCTTATGCATCCAAGGATTGTGTTATCCCTTTTGGTCACAGCGTCAGACTGGGAGCTCTTGTTTAGCTGAACTGAACAGTTCGGAATGCTGCCTCTCATATAATGGATATAGAAAGTCTATATGTTGCTTTTCCCTAGTTCTTATTGCGATATCGAATGGCTACTTTGGGGGGTAATAAGAAACTATAGTTTTCAGTGGGTAAACTTCACTTTTTTAGAATTTGTATCTGCCTAATTCCATCTATAGATTAATGTAAATCCTTCTCTATAACATTATGTCATGAGTATGTTGAAGGCAGAAGCTGAAATATTCCAGTGGTGCACATACTGAACATAGGCCTGGAAAATACTAAATTAGATTAAACCAAATGACTTTTAGACTTTCATAACGTATTTAAAAATATTTCTTTTAAGGAAAAAAAATTGATAATGAATATTTTCCTGAGCCAATCCAACAATCAAAATTCCCTAGCATTCTGAAGTACTTATCGGTGTGGCTGTGCATCAGCGCTTTGTCTATCCAGGAATATTTGGATTTATGTGGGAAAAATTAAAATACACAGTTCTGAACAAACGCTTATATAACTCATATGAAGTTTATTTTTGATTACTTAACAAAACAATATTGAGGGGTCTCCATAATGTTTTATTTCTTGAAGACTAGTATAGGTGGCTAATGGGAACTGTAGTGCTTTACGCTATATTATTGTTCGTGAATGATTAGGCCACCAACTCGGGGGACTACACAAGCTGCATCATTAGTCTACCAGGAACAGTAGTGTAACATTTCACAGGAATGGTGAAAGGCTCTAACATTGCCCCCCCACCCCCGATTTTTTTCTTTTTCTTTTTCTTTTTCTTTTTCTTTTTCTTTTTTTAGAGGCCTTTTGGTCCAATGGAATCATACAGCAGTTTCTAGAGGAAAGTCACTATTTCACATTTTCCATTGAACCAGCAAAAAGTTATTTTGCCTTTACTGTTAGGTTTACAATTTGTGTGTATATGTTGAATGGTCAAATCTAGATATATTTTTGGATACTGAAAAGTAAAGTAATATGAAACTCTTTTGTCTCTGTCCTCCGGAACAATTTACGAAGAGAACATAAGATAGATGATGGAATGATAGATGACATAATTGTGGGAATGGTATGAGAAATATTTCTATTTGATAAAGACACTGCATAATCGTGACATTACATAATACTCCTGAGGGAGTTCTGTGCCAAAAAAATAAAAATTCTGAATCTGTGCACAATATTTTAAAATTCTGCACATTTTATTTGTCAATAAATAAATGTGGAGGCTCCAGCATGGCAGTGGGGAGCACAGGACACTGGCTGTAAGGAGGTGGGAGATCACCCTGCAGCCCTCTTACTCACAGGACATGGACTTGGCAGTAAGGCTGCACTCAACCCTGACACAGCACAAGTGCTGAGCCTGCACCAGAAACATCCCAGGGTCCTGTCCCTCTGTGCCAGGTGCACCAGGTGTGGATAGGCAGACTCAGCTTGGCAGGATCCAAGTGTGGAGGGTCTTAGTGTGTGTGGCGATCCAGGTCTGGGTTGAGAGGGTTGTGTGGGGGGTAATCTGGGTACGGGCGGCTCAGTGAGGGGGTCCAGGTGTAGGTGGGAATCTGGATGCACAGGAGGGGTTGTTGGGGGGTTCTGGGTGGAGGGGGAATGGGATTCTGCTGAGGGGTCTAGGTAAAGGTGGTTGGGGTTCAGCAGGAGGGGTCTGGGTACAGGGGTAGAGGTCCTGATGCAGGCGATAGGATCGGCAGGGAGGAGGGGTGTCCAGGTGCAGGGAGATTGGGCTCAGCAGGGGCGGGGTCCAGATACAGGGGGGAGGGGCTCAGCAGGGAGGGCTGGATGCAGGGGAGTAGGGGTTTGTGTGGGGGAATTCTGGGTTTGTGTGGGGGGTGAGGCTTGGTGTGCGGGGGTCTGGGGATGAGAGGCTCAGGCTGGGGCTCCCCATGACAGGGTTTGGGCTGGGCTGCCCGGCCTTCCCGGCCACAGCTGCATGCGGGGCGTGCTGCCCTGGCTGCGGCTGGTTCTGGGCCAGGCCTCCCGTGTTCTGAAAGAAAATGGTGTATTGATTGTCTTAATTAGTTGATTTTAAGGCCAGAAAGGACCATTGTGATCATCATAACAAAGACACCGTTTCATCCTGTAATTCCTCCACCATGGTCAATAATGTGTGGTTGAACTAGTCCATATCTTTTAGAGAGACATCCAGTTTTGATTTAAAGATTACAAGTGAATGAGAACCCACCCGATCCCTTAGTAAGTTGTTCCAATGGTTAATTACTCTCAGTATTAAAAAATATGTGCCTTATTCCCACTATGAATGTGTGTACCTTCAACTTCCAACCACTGGATTTAGTTATATCTTTTCCTGCGAGGTTAATAAGTCCTCTTCTGCCAGATATAGTCTTCCTTTGTAGATATATTTAGACCATGATTGAGTCAGTTCTTAACCTTTCCCCCTCATCCCTCAATAAGCTCTTACAGTGTTTTAATTGTTTGATATTGGGACAAATAGGGGTGGGGTTGTGGAGTTGCTTGGTTCATTTTTGACTGTCTACAGGGGTTTTATCTCTTTGCTGAGATATTCTTTCTCATTTTGTATAAAACATTCATATATCAATCAGTGAGACAGATCCTCAGCTGGTGTATTTGGTCACCGTTCTATTGACTTCAATGGAACTATGACAATTTATATCTACTGAGGATCTGCCCTGATACCTTTATCACCTCTGTGTTACACCTATAATGTGTGTATCCCTTAAAAGAAAACTGAATTGCTAACATAAAAACTATTTAAGATATTAAATCACTAACAATCCTTTAATTAGTCTTTCTTACTGACTATATAGCTGCCCCACTTAAGGGAATAGCCATCTGAAAGTAGTTAAAATGAGACAAGGAACTATATTACATAAATTGCAAGAATTAAAAAATGATCTCTCTGTTTTTTCCCCTTTATTTGCTTTATCCCTTTGTTCTTTTTTTCTTAGTGCCTGATTCTGCAGCTGCACTGCAGGCAAAACTTTCATTGAAATAAATGGGAGTTTTTCCTGTGGAGCAGCTGCAAAATGAAGACCAGTAATTGTATTTGTATGACGCCTCTTGCCAAGGCAATCAGCATGCTGAACAAACAATTATAACACAATGCAATTAAATTTTAATTGCTAATTAATTATCTCTTGTTTTATACAATGCTTTGAAAATCTAAAGCAAGATCTGAATGTTGTGTAGTACAAATATTGTTTTGTAATTTATGTATTAAAAGGCCAGATCTAAGAATATTATACCTGGTTAATCACCAGTTA